GGGTTCGGTATCTGAAAGAGGAGCTGCACAACAAATGAGAGAACAAGACACGAGATAATTTTGCAATATTGGGGGACCAGGTGGGCAAGTCCCGAAGGACTTCCACCCATGCTCAGGCTGCTCCAATCTTTTATTGATCTGGAGTAGCCCTTAGGGTAAGGAAGTTTCAATGACACACAGATCAGCAGACAATTTCCAGGAGTAGACAAAAGTATCTGATTAACTCATCAATAGATTTCTGAGAGTATCTGATTAACAATAATCAACAAGTATCTACATAAGTATCTAAGGAATTAAGGGAACTAAGGTGGGGATGCTTCAACTATTATTACCTAAATTAACTGAGTGGTTCCTAGATTAACTGGGTGGTGCACAGCCCTGACCTTTGCTAGGACTTTCAAGCCCTGACCTTTACTAGGACTTTCAATGGCTACTAACTTTTGGGGGGGTCTCTGTCTAAACTCAGCTAGTGAAGACAATGAATGAACTCCGGCACCTGCATTTTCTATGTGAACCCAGAATAAATCCAGTCACCCTTTTCAAAAAGGAAAAATAACAATACCTGATTGTTAAAAACCTCTCATTTGTTTACTCTTAGCTATAAGTAGCCACTGGATGGAGTCACTAGGACTGCATTGCAATGAATAGGATTGAAGGATGCAATTGGTCAGCATCACACAAAGATGGATATTGAAACAAAATCAGTTTCTAGATCTTGAGCAGGAAATAATCTGTTAAGATGGTGACAAAAAATTGGGTGTACAGACATGTCTGACTTCTGAGTCTGCACTCCTAACGCCTAACTACTTACATTCAATAAACAAAATTTCAAATAAATCATTAAAAACACATGATATAATATACAGATGATGTATTATAGAATTGCATATCTGAAACTTGCATAATTTTATTAACCAATGTCACCCCAATAAATTCAAGTAAAAAAAGGAAATGCCAAAAAATATGTTTCAAAACTAAACTCTGCTTTATTAATTTCTAAAGGTAAAGAGAATTTCACAAGTAATATTTCCTGCATGGGTAGGATTACTTTATCATTTCTTCCAACATCTTTGAGGTGGTCGAATCTAACCAGGTATTATACTAGCACTAGAGGCCAGGTGCATGAAATTCGTGCACAGGTCCCCTCAGTCCAACCTGCACCCTCTCCAATCTGGGACCCCTCGGGAGATGTCACACTGCCAGTTTAGGCCTGATCCCTGGGATGAATAGGATTGAAGTATGGGATAGGGCCTAAACCGGCAGTCAGGCATCCCTCTCACAATCCTGGACTGCTGGCTCCTTAGCACTCACCTGCCTGCCTGCCTAGTTGCCTCTAACTGTACCCCCTGCCAGCCTGGTCACCCTATCTTCCCCTCTGCTGGCCTGGTTGCCCCCAACTGCGCCCCCCCCCCTGGCCTAGTCGCCCTTCACTGCCCCGCCCCACCGCTGGCCTGGTTGCTCTTACTGCCCCCCCTGCTGGCCTGGTGACCCCCGAACGCCCCCCTTCCAGCCTGGTCACTCCCAAACTGCCCCCCCTGCCAGTCTGGTCACCCCCAACTGCCCCCCCTGCTGGCCTGGTCAACCCTCACAGCCCCCCCACTGGCCTGGTCGCCCCACGCAGCCTGCTTGTTCAGTCGTTTGGTCGTCCCTCACTACCCTCCCCCCCTTCCGGCCTGGTTGTAGGCAGCCATCTTGTGAAGGTGTGATGGTCAAATTGCATATTACCTATTTATTATATAGGATGAGTGTCCTTGTGTGTCAATGTGTATTCTATAGGCTGTTCATTCATGTATATAAAATAGGTAGATGATCGCATTGACTGGCACATATTCACCTTAATGTTAATGCAAATATTCTTATATAATTATTATAAAGGTAAAGAATGACACAACTAAATTTCACTCTAATTGAAAATAGCATTGATTACACAGAAATTTATTTAAAATAAACAAATAAAGACTAACATTCAAGAGCATTAAATTTGAAAGCAGCTGTATAACAAATTGAGAATATATTCATGAATGAAAATGAAGTTCTTACTAAAGTGCGTTTTTTCCAACAATGACAAAAATTAAGCTCCAGCAAATGCATTCACACTTCTCTTTTTAATATGTCTATTAAGAAAGAAATCAGCCTTGCCACTGACATTATTTTTTGTACAGGAAATGACCAGAGTTGTATAATTTTAAAAGCATATGCTTATTTTGCAGTTAAGTTTACAAATGGTTAGCGTTTAGCCTTCTAAATCAAGTTTCATTGTAACTATAATAACCATTGATTGCATATCTATTTCTACCAGACAACAACATTTTTTTTTTCTGAAATGAAGCTATTTTTTTATATTCTGAGTACTTTAGAAGCCATTTTTACCCAGATCTGTTTTTAGGTACTTCTGCTTATCTAGAAAAACTGACTCTGTGCTTGAGTGATACAACTCTTATGAAAGGCAATCTTTTCCTCAAAGAAAGGGGTTTACAAGGGATTTCCCCAAACCGCTAGTTCTTCATAGTATTATTAAGCCAGAAGTTAAACTTCTTAAATATTGGTGAAGTTGTCAGTATAAGAAGCAAGCATTCAAAGAGTGGATGTTTATTTTTTGCTGCAGTTTAGTCCCTTGGACAACTTAAATTCTTTTCAAATGTACCCTCGCACATTCCTCACTGCCCACTCCTGGGTGAATGGGACAAGGAACATGGTATCTCAATTTGTTAATTAAATTTGGTATAGCTATGTTACAGGAGAATGCTGTACATTCCCATTGAGAAAAAGAAGTGGGTAAAAAATAGCAAAATACTGACAGAGAACTCTGTGGCTCAGGTATGGCAGCTTTTCCTCCCATGAATAAACTTGTGGTTTGGTGTATTATTCAGTAAATAAACATGCTATTTGTTTAACAGAATTTCAGTTGAATTACCATCAAACCATTTCCTCCACAGGAAACAGATCTTTAATTTATGGAATAATAACTTCCTCTTGTTCTTCTAATAAGAAATTCAAAAGCAGATGAATGCCTCTTAGTTTTCTACCTGTCTTCAGAGAAATTGTGTGGTCATCATGGAGGACATGCAAATGGCAGTCTGCTTGCCCCATGTCTGGTCAGGGGAGGCCTCCGTGCTGCCTTTTGGGGAGGAAACACTAGCTCCCTCTGTGTTCAGAGTTGCCCACTGCTTGACCCAAGGTGGGCTACATGTAAAATGGCCTGCATGTGGGGTGGTCAGTGGCTCCTCTTGAGAGGGTCGGCAATGATGTTCTCTGCCCAACAGAGCGACAAAGGCAGAGGGAATTCTCTAAAGCAATTAATTATTCCCCTTCTCTTCAGAACGTTTACAACAGAATATGGAGACCAATGGTCAGTCATCAATGGAAGAAGGTTGACTCCCAGAAAGACACAGTGGCTATGAGCAGGTGTCCTGAGTGAAAGAAGAGAGAAAGCAACTGATTTCTAGCACTGCCTTGAATTCTTTTATTTCTATGTTTTTGGGTAATATTAACACACACATATAACTTGAGTGAGTTTCAGTTACTTTCAGTCAGAAGGCTTTAATATAATTCCCAAACTAATGCTTTTTAAAAATTGGAACACTATGTGATTGACATGGAAACAAGAGCTGTGACAAAAGACTTGTATTGTGTGATGTCTGACCAAAAGAGTTTGCAATCTCTCATAGAAAACTTCCACTTGAGGGATTAGAGAACAGCACACTTGGAGGACCAAGGTAATGATTAGAATAATTTATTATTTTTGTAAAGTCATTGAAAAAGATCTTGGGACTTGTGGACACGAAGGGAACAATAATAATCCCAGTAGGTAAAAATGAGTAAGTCGGCTGAAGTCGCACTTATCGAGACAAACATGGGAGGGTAGCTCGGTGACACTTGGTAAAGGTGAAGATGTGCCTACTCTTCAGTAGCTGTTTGCTTGGGAAACTCTTGCAGACGTTACAAGTGCTCTATTGTGGGACTTTGTAATGTAACATATTTCATGGAATGGGTGAAGGAAAGAAACATCTCATGTCACAACAATGGCAATGAGTAAAAATGAATGAAAAATGGAAGCATATGAAATGTAGTTTGTTCTACATTTTGGTGAACCTCACTACCAATTCCAGGGACAGCTATCATCCCATTTAACAGAGAGGTTACAATTTTGCACCCTGGCTCTGGAGCCCTTACTTACCTTCACTGAAATTATTTTTGTAACTGTCTTTTTGAAGATGACATAGGCATGTGTGGTGAGATGGAGCTAATGCTTCGCAGTCTTAGCACCCAGTTGTGCCTCACCAGGCCTTGGCAAGTGCTTGGTAACTCAGTTATTGAAGTGTGAGCTCCTTACAGGATATGTAGGTGCTGGGGACAAAGCAACCAGAAACCAGAGAATGTCCAGGTAGACACCTCAGGATGGGTGTCCTTGCCACAACACCAAGCCTAACAATAGAGATTTGAAGCTAAGATCATCCTGGTTTGAATAGGTCACTTGGTAAACCTGTTAGACTGGGGCAGAGGCAGCCTAATGTGGACTAGTACATAAGGTGCTATAGGGAAAGAGCAATGAATGGTGGGACTGAGGCACTGGGAGCTGGAAGTAAGGCCAATTCTCCTTCAAGACAGGGGTACTAGAAGCTCCAGATGTGGGAACAGCAGAGGTGGGCACCTCCTCAGGGCAAGCTGTCCTGTGGGTAACTGACTTCCTAGCAGTGAGTCCCAGAGGTAAAAGATGACGCAGGCTTCCCTTTAAAATGTATTCCCCCTCCTGTAAAGAACCCTCCTCAAATCTAATCAACAGGCGTACACATTTCAGTCACATCCTTCTTATTACTTTGCTAAGATAATAATAGAAAGATTGCTCCCCAGCGGACTCCTATGCTCCCCTTGAGGATACTTCATTTTATTTTCTACTCGAGAGCTGTTAATAAATCACTTTCGAGCTGAGTACAGTTCAATGCTAGGGCACTTCGCTTATCTGACCTTCACATTAATTATTTTTCTTACACCAGCAGGAACTTGCGTCTTCTTTTCCCCCTTCCCTGCAAAGCTACATGGCCCCAGCAGACCCAGTTCTCTCATCATGCCAAAGGGGGAGCTCCTTAAACACTCATGTCGCTTACAAGTTCTCTCAAACTCTAAGTTCCATCGAATCAATAGATTTAAGGGACTCGTTTGTGTCTGAATGTTTGGAGATGTCATTACAATTCTTACAAAAACTGAAAGTGAAATGAGGAAGACCGATTGAGCAATCGGCTGGAAGTGCGAATGCCAGGAAGACCTATTGCACGTAGGGGCAGAGATGCAGCCCTGTGGGAAGAAAATTCAGGAGAATTCTCCTGAGGGCAAGCGCCAAGCTGGCCGCTGTAGTCAATGTAGGACATCAACAAACACAGATAACAGGAAATGACCCATTCCCCGTGGTCACTTATTCTGAAGACCCAAACCTTCAAAGTCCAAGGAGTGAAATGAATGACTGCACAGAAGGGAAGCCGGCACGCCTCTCTCCTGGTCTGAAGAGAAGAGAAGAAATGAAACTGAAGGAGTATGTCTCCATCCTCCCCCAGAAGGAAAGCCCCTCTGCCCGGTTCTCCAGAGATGGCTCGCTGCTGGCCTTGACCTGGCTGCTGGCCCTGGTGTCCTGCTGCCTCACGGTGGTGTCCTTCTGCAGAGTGGCTGCCCTGCAAGCGGAGCTGAAGAGCCTCCGGGAGGAACTGCTGGAGCACCAAGCTGAGCAGCTGCCAGGCCCTCCCCGGGCGGGAGCAGCAGCTCCCAGGGCAGCTGTGCAGGAAGCTCCAGCTGCCATCTCGGCACTGAAAGTAAGTTCGAAGCAGCTGAGCTGGGTGAGGCCTGGGCACAGTTCTCCCCACGGTGCTGCCTCTCCTTCCTCAGACATCTTTGCCATAACCTGGGTGTTTTCTGCTCTTAGGGGATCTTTGCACCACCAGCTGCACAAGAAAGTAACTTCAGTCGGAGCATCAGGAAGAAGCGTGCCATTCAGGGTCCAGAAGAATCAGGTATGTCTGCGGCACAGAAGCCTTTAGGGATCAGAGATCCCAGCCTCCACAGGCGTGGAGGGTAGCACTGGTTTGGGGGAGCGAGAGGTGGACATAGCCTAGAAACTGCGAACTCTACACCAGATGTGGCTTTCCAGCAGCCCGAGCACCGGCAGGTTTAATAGGCTGCACAGCAGGTTCTGTCCTCCAATGAGCAGCCTGTGTGCATAGAAGTATTTGAGGAGGAAAAGGGGGCACATATTTCTCATCAAATAGTTCACTCCTGTATCAGAAGCATTGCCCATTGCTCCAGAGAAAAAAAAAAGCACTTCATGTTAGCGTAGAATTGGTGTTTGTCCACCTGGGTCATGGAGTTTCAGCTTCAGACAAGCATTTCCTGAGGGCACGCTGTGAAATCAAACGAAGCAGGTGTGTGTGCTTTATTTTGTTTCGTGCTTAACAGAGTTTATTTTATACACACATACACACTGATTTTAAAGCTTCTCTGCAATGTATACATATCCGTGGTTTCTATCTTTCTTCATGTTCCACTTGTTCCATGGAAGTTTAAAGACTCCTGAAACCTAAGATTTGGTGGGACCTCCTAAAATGCTCAGTTTTAGTTCCTTCATAAAGATGAAGAACATTTGCATCGCGTTTACTAATAACAAAACTTAATAAACCCTTGGAGCACCTAGAATGTGCCAGGCAGGGATGTCCTAGGATAAGTATTGTCACACCTACTGTTTCCTTTCATCTTCACCTACTGTTTCCTTTCATCTTCACCGTGGCTGTGAGATAAACAACACGTGTAATTATTTATACATATTTGTAGAGACTAGGTGTTCTTCTCTCAGACACACACACACACACACACACACACACACACACACACACACACACACAAACACCACAATCGATGCTTTGACTGTACATTTGTTTTTCACTAAATGTCTTATTCATAAAAGATATTTTTATTTCATAAAATCATATTTTTATCTGGTTGTCATATATTTGTGCCAATTATCAGAAACAATTGGGTTTAAATGTTTTTAAACTAGGAAATGTATTTATACTATACTTTAACACATCAATCATTTTCATATTTTGCACTTTATCATTTGTATTTTCTACATAATTGAAAAAATACAGCATTTATAACATGGTATTTTTTATTCACTTATCATTATATATTAAGCATTTTCCCAATTGCTGAGTAATTCTCATACATCTATGGTAACTTATTCATTATGCAGTGATTTAACATAATAATTTCCTCCCCACGCTTTTTTTTTTTTTACTATAATGGAATACACCAAAATTTTTGTGCTAATCTCTTTTGTGTATGTGGAATTATATGATCAACATAAATTCTGTAGATGGGATGTCTGAGGATATTCATTTTTATCACCCTTGCTACCTTTTGCCATATTGTTTTCAAAATGAGTTATAAATGCAATTAAAATATAGTGTACAAGTTCTCCACAATTTTACAGCATCTTATTTTTAAAAACTTATTTTGGCTTGTTTAGTACCTGTAAAACAGTATCTCAAATTTAATTTGTTGTTTGCTTACAAATAAGAATTAAATTCTTTCCACATATTTTGATAATTTCTAATTTTATCTTCTGCTAATTGTCTCTCATTTGTCTCTTCTATCTTTTATAACTTTGAATAAACTCTATATTAGACATATTGTGTATCAAAATTTTGATGTAAATATTTTCACAATATTGTGCTGCTTTTAAAAACTTGTACAGAGATTTTGCATTTGTATATTTTAATGTGATAAACGTTTCCTTTTGATTTTCTCTCATGCATCAAAGCTAAAAACATTAACAACCTCTTAGTCTACTCTATTCTCTGCTGTTTTGACTTTTTTTATAACAGTGTTTTAATTTGATATTCAACTCATTAATCTTTCTGGAATTTACTTTGGTAGAATATGTCATACTAGCTTTGATTTTCCCTTCCTTCTATGTTTTCCTTCCAAACTGCTGCTAAATATCTCAACCAAATTTATTAGATGATATTTTTAACTTGTTTGTGATGGAAAGCTTACTTTATTATTTTAAATTCCTCATATGTCGTTGAATGCATTTGGAGACTCATTTTCATTGATTTGCTAATCTGTTTATCTGTATTAAAGAAAACATTTTAAGTAAATGTAATGAGCTTCACTATCTAGTAGGATCAGGATGCCTCAGTCATCTTTAACCTTATGTGCTAGTATTCCCTTGGTTCTACATATTAGTTAAAAATAAACTTTAACTTTACCATTGCAAAGAGGACATAGGCTCAGCAGACTTAAGAAGAAAAGAATAGAATAAGAAATCAATAACCTCTTGTTTCACTCCCCAAAATATTCTCTATTAATATTTTAAAACTCCTTCCATGTACATGTTCTTACATAGTATATGTGTTTTTATGGCACAAAAAATTATATACTGATGAAAAAATGTCCTCAAATAATTTGCAATTTTTTACAAAGCTTAGAGAATAACAGAAAATTCTAACCAAGTGAATCAAAATTACCCAGTTTTCACAGTCCAGATGTGATCATTGTTGTCATCATGTTTTGCCTCCAATTTTTATAGACCTTTAATATAGTATATGGGAGTGGGCAAAAGTAGGTTTACAGTTGTTGTATGGAAAAGAATACAATAAATAATAAACTATGTTTCATGTACTCACAACTGTAAACCTACTTCACCCACCTCTGTATATAGTATATATGTGTAGTATATAGTATATATGTATATAGATATATCATGCATCTATATATAGTACATAGTATATATCTCTATGTATCTTTATATCTCTCTCTGTATACTCATAACATCAATAATCTCAGATGGAAGATTTGAAGATAAGAGGCTTAGTGACAGGTTCTATATGCTATTCCTTGTCAATGAAATCAGCTGGACTGTTGTTATGGGCACTGTCCTTTTGTTTAGTACTACTCTAAAATGAATGAATATACCCAAGAATGTTGTCTGAAACTCTGATTTTGTTGTTGTTATTTGGTAGGATGTTCTGCAGATTGAGAAAATTCTATGCAGATTGAACCTATGCAGCTTTCCTCATTTTTTTTGTTTCCATTCCAGTTCTGATATATTTTCAGGAAGGCTCAAAAACCTTTGGTTGTCCCTTTTACTTTCAAAGTGTTCACTTTTGTTCTTATTTATTGCTTTTCTATATACACTTTGGGATCATTAATATTTTCTTGGAATTTAAAACTGAGGAGACAAATGAATTTTTACACTGTTTAATTTATATATTCAGTAATGTTTAATATCTCTATTAAATACTGAATTTAATTTCCCAATAAGACATGAGTTTTTAAGTGTAGGTTTCACTATTCTTTCAAAGTTAATTTAAAAAAGTGTTGTTGCTATTCTGGAATCTTAGCATTTTCAAATAGCTTGTTAAACTGTTAAAAATGTACATCATTTAAAATAAATGGTATAGCATTTGATCTCATGCTTGTTTGTAAACCATAGCAACATATTTATGGATTTATAGTTAACAGAATTATAATATTATTTTTATTTTTTATCTAGAACTCGGCTTTCTACATATATTTCTCAATGACAATGTGTCATTATTTTTTAACTATGTCAAAAAGGTTCATAGCTAAATATTGCCAACTAATACACCAAAATGTTACTTATTCTTATTTTTTATAAATCCAACATAAATCTCATCAGCCACTGCAATGTTATTGTGTGTATATACCATTTATAAGTAAATTTTAGTGTGTTGGTCTAGGAAGCCCAACCTCCCCAGCACCAGCAAGCCTAGTACTGCCTCAGTATTTGCTACAAATTACATATCATCTAGGAAAACTGTCATCTATTCATTTGTATATGTCTGTCTGTACAACTGAAGAGTAGGAAGGTATGTAGTCTGGCTCCTTTTTCTTCTCCTGTATACCTACTTGTATCTGTAGGTATTCTTTTAATATTTGTTGATGGATTTGGGCCTCAATTTGAAGCGAGAAAGATTGACTTGGAATTATTTTGCTGGTGGGATTTTTCCATGTTTCACTTAGAGACCAAGTTATTAAATTTTAAACTTGCCATTTAAAGCAACTAATTAACCAAAGAATAAGCCTGATCACAAGACTAGAGTCATGGGAGAGTTGGGAACCTCTTGCCTCAGACCTTCTTGGTGCAGCAAGTAGACTCAATTTGAACTGAAAACTTATGGAGAAGCTCCTATATTCAGCAACCTGTTTAACTAAAATTTTATGGATTAATGGTTTTATTTAATTTTTTTTCCTTTTCATTGAGGTATTATTTACATACTAGAGGCCCAATGCACGAAAATCATGCAAGAGTAGGCCTTCCTTCCCCCGGCTGCCACCACTGGCTTCCCTCTGGCACTCGGGACCCGGGCTTCCCTCCAGCTGCAGGCAGGCACCCGGGACCCGGGCTTCCTTCACAGCCCCGGCTTCGTCGGGAAGGTTGTCCAGAAGGACATCCAGAAAGATGTCTGGTCTAATTAGCATATTATACTTTTAGTATTATAGATGATAAAGGGTTCATATTTCAAAAATATAGCTTGATGAATATTTATAAACTGACAGCAGTAGATGAAGGGACCACCATCATCCCACACTCCCACTTGCTACTACTTCCAGTCCTCCCAGGGGTAAGTGCTGCTTTTACTAAATTTTAAAATTTGCTACTTTGGCCCCAGTTTGTTTTTCTTAATTATGTTGTATTTCAAATAAAAGTCTTACTAAGTTTCATGTGTTTCATAAGATAATTTCTGATTATAGTATAACAGCAGAAATGTGGGGAAATCCAGGATCAAAGAATTGCCAAATGGCTCAGATTAACCAAAAATTCACTTTTAAATCCCATAAAGTGTATTTGGAGATATTCTTAATTTTAATTTTTAAAGTGATTGCCTTTAAAAATATTACTCATTAAAATTTCTTCACAAATGGAATCATGATGACCCATATTTTGAACCCTCACCTCACTTTATCATTAATTATACTTACTGATTAT